CGTTATCTCCGTAAATATTTGCAGATGTTTCAGGGCCGGGACCTGCGCTCGGCCGGGAACGCCTGCCGGATCAGCGGCTTTTTCGCACGGGTCTCCCTCGCTGCGGAGGAAGCGGCAGATGATCCCGACGGATCGCGGCGGTTGAGACAAGTGTTGCGCAGAGATGACATGTGGGCTCCAACCAACAGAGCAACCCTTTCTTTTTTGGTTAAAAATGTGTATTTAGCAGTTACTAACTAGTGTTATTACAAGAGGAGGGTGGACACACACACAGCCCTGCTTCCTCCCCATCCCAAACGGCCTGGAGCCGCATCCTCTCGGCACAGCTCCATCCGCCGCGCCGTGCCGGGCGGGCAGGACCTGCTCTGCAGTTAATTCACTCTCAAGACCAGCGCTCCCCAACCACAGAAACCCCATCATCTCTCAAGTCTTCATTTTTTTTCTTTTTTCCCCCAACTTTCCTGTAGCTGCCTCATAAAAAAAACCCAACAACCAACCCCAATCAGCTAAAACGGCATCAGAGGAAACTCCCTCCACCAGCTCCCGGTGCCCCAACCTCCTCTCCGCTTCATTTTTCAGTCCCCTCTACACCAACGGGACTTTAAAAGCCCAACTTGGCCCATCAGACGACCAAAGTTTGCTGCTGCTGTTTTCTACAGGGAGTTTCCAGGCGATCAGGTTATTTCCACTCCGTCTTTCACGAGCTCAACTCCCCAAACTTCTTGTAAAATATTAAAGATGGAAAATGGCACGAGCGCTCGTAGCTCCGCGCGTGTCAATTTATGTTTCCAGCATAATTCACCACAAATGGATCATGTTTTATGGGCTACATACTTACAGCTAATGGGGGAGTTTTTCTATTTAAAACCATTTTCGAGCACCTCTGGGGGTGGCAGAACAATGCAGGATGGTACGAGAAGGCAAAGCATCGCTGCCACGAGATCCCGACCATTCAGAGCCGGCAACAGGAGGGCATCTTGGGTCTTCAAGTATCTGCCCCTGCCCACCGGTTTTGACGTTAGAAAAGACTAAAGTCAATTAGATGGGTATTAATTGAAGACGTGCCTGGGTTTATTGGATAGGAACTTTACTCCTACCAAAGAATGGGGAAGTTCTGCATGTTGTCTACAAAAAACTAAGATATCCCTGAAGAAGCCTCTGTGCCCTCGGAGGGGACGAGGGACACCTCCCAGCATGTGGTGCCAGGTTGGGACTCAACTGTACCTTCCCAAGAGACGGCAAAGCAGGGCAAGGCAGAGCAAGGCAGGACAAGGCAAGGCAAGGCAAGGCAAGGCAAGGCAAGGCAAGGCA